GAATATGGAATATGATCTGAAGAGATGGAGAGCTAGCCCATGTTTACTTAGCTGGACCAAATTAATCTTATAATGATATTGATCCATCTTAAAGTAATTATAAATTCAATAAGAGCCAATCGAAATTCCAGCTGGACTTTTTTTTGAGGAACTTGATAAACTTATTTGAAAATTTTAAGATGTGTTATAACAAATAATAATGAAAACTAAAGTACAAGAAGAGACCATGAGATCAATAAAATTAAAATAGACAGGTCCATGAATATAAATTAAGCATTTTTACTTAAAAATAGGACACTGTGAATAAAGTTAGCAGATGACAGAGTAGAAGAAGAAATTTATATTGGGTAAAATTAAACTGGTAATATCTATAATTGTACCTTTAGAAGATACAAAGAACTACTGCTAATCAGTGAGAAAAAAGGGCAATCCCAATAGTGAAGTTGGCAAGGAAATGAACAGGCATTTTAGAGAAGAGAAACTCCACAAGGTAATATACATATGAAGAGATGCTTAAATTTATTAGTACTAGTAATGTAAAATAAACCACAATGAACTATCACTACATGTACTAGATTAGCAAAAATCAGACAGCTGGATAAAGCCAAGTTTGGTGGTAAAATGGAAGTATGTGAAGCCTCATGAACTTCTGGTGGAAGTCTTGAACAGCAGTCTGGTTCTATTTAGTCAAATTAAATACATGCATAATCTTTGACCCAGTGATTTCCTACCTCTGAACATATAATCTCAAGGAAATTTCGACATGCCTCTGCAAAAGGATGCATGTATAAGAATGTTCACTGATTTTGTTTGTGGAGGAGGAAGTTGGAGACAATCTGGTTAAGTAAAATGCAGTGTTTGCACACCATAGAATACTTTGCAGATGTTAGAATTAGCATGGGGAATGTCTACAGAGCAATGTGGATGGATCTTACAACACCGTGCTGACTTAAATTAATAAGAAGCAGCATGATTGTTGAACTGTCTCAAAAATCATGATAAGGTGAACCTAAAACTCCCTCATCTAATTTCTTTGGTGCCACTGGAAATAGTATGACCTTTGTCCATTTTTAACTGGATTGAGGTAAATAACAATGTCATTGTATTTTACGTAATGAAATAATGGATCTGGTGATACAGCTAGCAGCTGTTACAAAGAAGACACAAATACCACCGTAATATGATTTCTTAAATATTTAATAAGCTGGATTTTAGAGTGGGTCTGTATGCTCACTAATCCAAGGTCAAAAATTAATGAATTGTCTTCTTCATGAAGACAGGGAAGGTAAATGGGGAGGCAATGGCCTATTATGCTAAAAGCTCTTAAAATGGAGGCATTAAATATACTTAAAAATTAAATGATGAAAAACTTGTTCTAAAGTTTTTAGATACAGGTTCCTTGGCAAAAGAAATAAATAATTTGCTGCCTGCTCTTTGGTATAACACAATAAATATGATAATTACTTTATGGAACAACTTAAATTATTTTAGATAAAGTGCTTTGAATGATTGCATTTGTTTCCACTTTTAAATATGTAAAAATCATAAAAACATAAATCTACTTTTTCCTTTTAACCTGATGAAATGAACAAAATTAAATAAATACTTGAGCAATTTCAAAAAAATAGAAGCAGGGTGAGTTCTGTAATACAACATTACCTACATGAATTAAAAATGTATACATGCAAAACGATACATATTTTGTAAGAACAGGTACAAATGTCTACAAAGAAAAGGATCAGTTTACAACAACCAGTGAAAACAGTCACCTTGATTGGAATGATGGTGGTGTGACAGGGGACAGGAAAAAGAAGGGACAGGAAAAAGAATAGGTATCATGGAAAACAGGGGGATGTGGACAAAGGAATAAATGAATTATTGAACAAATGAATGAATGAATGAGAAAGGGGCCTTTCATGGATAAATGACGGCAAAGTGCCATGGATCAAGAAGATGATTAAAGTCCAAACGAAAAGAAAAATTAAAAGCCTAGCGGATGGTACATAATGAACATTCAGTAAATATTTGTTAAATGAAGGAAGAAATGAAGTCTGTGGTGAATCTTTTCACAAGGCTAAAATTCCTTTTGCAATATGAATCAGTGCTCTTTAATGAATTATTTTAAGAGTTTCAATTTTGGAATATCGAATTCTTTATAAATGTGAGTGCATCTGTATTTGGAGACATCTGGACCATGTTAACAGAATTTTTTTCTTTTCTTCCACTTCTTGAGATATTGCATGAACATGGCTGCCTCTTCTGAACTATGCCATGCAGTTTGACTTTTGATTCTGAGTCACAGAAAAGGTTTTCCCGGCAAATATTTGCTGTTTTGATCAAGTTTAGTTCCAAAACACCTGCCCGTATGTGGTCATTGATACGCTGGGTCTTCTGGATCGCCAAGGTGGAATCTGCCTCGCAAGCTTTGAGGCCATCAGAGGTGGTAGGGTTTGTCACTGGCCATCACGATGGGCTTGCCCACTGCACAAGATCTGATTTGTCAGAGCACCTCTAGGATTTTCCTCTTCTTCCCCTCCTTCCAGAGGACAGGGATTTATCCCAGGGGATATAAGCATCTATTGATCTGCTCCGGGTTTTAATGATAGTGATCCTATTAATATATCACTACTGATAAACACGGCTGATATTTGGCTTTCACTGATTTCAACTTAATGAACATCTATTAGTGTAATTATTGAGAGTTCCAGCCCTTGTCAGATGAACTTGGTTCTGACACCCAGCCTATCATCTAATAGCCTGGTGACATTAGGCAAATTAAATTTCCCAATCATTTGTTTGTTTCTCTGAACAATATAGATAGAAGTTTCCTCACAGAGGTGTTGTGGTGACTAGATTAGATAAGTGTTTCAGGCTTAACATGGAGCCTGGTGCATTGTAAGTAGTTATTATTATTACTTCATGGGAATCATTACACTAGTCCTGTGGGGAGAAATAGTGAAGAATAAGCAAAAGATCTTTATTTCACAGACTAGGAGAGAGTAAGGCAGGTGACCAAAATACAGAGCGATGTGAAAGAGGACCCGTGGGTCACGTATCCTCCTAAGAACCTGTGAGCCATTCAGAGAACTGCTTCTTCATTTCATAATCAAGGAAACTGAGACTAGAAGAGTTACGTGACTTATGTAACGGGACACAGTGAGTGAGTGTCATAGCCTTGATGGAAACTCCTGTCTCCCGTGACTGAGCCAGGCCTGAGGGATGTGCCACTGTGTCCAGTGGAAGCTTCTCAGTGAAGCCCAAGGCCCTGTGGCGCTGCTCCCTGCCAGACCGGGCTGTGGTGCTGCCACCACACAATGGGGCCTGTCACTGCCCTGAAATTCAGAGGCTTTGGGTGAGAGCTCAGAACCAGCCAGGAGATGACGGCCTCCTCTGTCTTGCGAGTGAGCTTTCTGTGTGGACGACACTTCTCCTCAAGACCTTCCCTCAAACCAACAAGATAGCAATTCATAACTTCATCCAGTGAATTTTCCTTGGGGGTGAGAATGCTCCCGCTCCTGTGTGAGGCACTCACTGGAGAGACAAACGAAACCTCCTTGAGGAAGCTACGGACTCAGGCAACAATTTACTGTCATGTAATGAACAGGCCGAGGGCTCCAAGAGCTGAGAGAATAGGGACAAGTATTTTCTGGGCTAGGAGGTTTGGTGGGTCAGAACATTTTTTCACCAAAAAGGTGCAATTTGAGTTGGATCTTGAAAAATGGAGAAGTGATTTTCAGGCGGGGAAGTTAGGAGAGGAACCCAGCAAGAGAGGCCAGCAAGGTCAAAGGCAGGGAATTGCACAGATGTTCAGTGGTGCTCAGAAGGCCCTGGCGACCAGGGGTAGGAGGGAAGTGGGCAAAGAGGCTGGAAAGGAAGGCAAGGGCTCGATCGTGGGGGCTTTACCTGCCTCCAGCTCTGCGGCCGAATGGAGAAGGTGAAGGCTTTTTAAGCTGGCCAATAGCATGATCAGATCTGGAGCATGCAACATTGTGCTGGGCAATATGGAGGGCAGAACAGCAAGGCCCCAGACCTGCCCTGGGCGGCCCTGGACAAGTGGTCTAGCCCCTAAACTGATCCGTCCCTGGAGCCTGAGCGTGTGCTGGTCAGATGCGCAGTGGTGGAGGCTTCCAAACTGGGAAGGAGCCTGCAGCTTAACACCCCCCAAACTGCCGGGTGGTGACCCCCATTACTTTTACTTTGAGAAGCTTCCTGTTGTCAGGTAGCTGGGCGCTAGGAGAGAGGCCCTGCTCACACTGTGCCTGCAAGTCCTCTTTGAGAGATGAGCTCCGGTTAAAGAGCACGGCACCTTCTCCTTCCTCCCTGAGTGAGCTGGCCTCTTTTGCCATGGGCATAACAACCATCAAAACCAGCATCCCCATATCTAAGCATGATTAAGGCTTGCCGTTTGGGTGGTGGCTGGGGGCGAGGGGAGGGACTGTTGTGTTTCAAAATGAAATAAACAGAAAAGCAATATTAAAAGAACGAGGAGGTTGTTTAGTGAGGCTTGAAGAGACGACAGGTGTTTCCTCTGTGTTGAGAACCAGTGACCCCTGGGAATCGCATTTCCCGCAGAGCGGGGCCCATGGCAGGCTGAGTCCTGCCAATGTCCTGGTGGTGTGGAAGCCTGAATGGGCGCAGCAGAGGGGCTCTGGGGCTCATCACTGGTGTGGGGAGGTCCAAGGCTTGACACGGGCCCCACACAGCTGGCACCCACATATGCCTTCACACCCACACACGCAGCACGTCTTGCTGCAAGGCCCTGTGCCAGTGGCCATGGCCGTCTGGGCTGTGTTGTTGTTTGGTCCCAGCTGGCTGGCTCCGTGCATGAAGCGCCTTGCAGCTGGTGGCCCTCTGCGGTGGCGGTGCGCATAGTGGGGTGACAGGCGACCTTGCCGAAGAAAAGCGCCCGGGTGCCTGAGGTGGGAGGATGTGATGACGCGCCCCACGCAGCGGGAACTCGGGCCTTTAAAAAGCCCAGGAAACAGCCTCAGCACAAGCGGTGGCTCCACTGGAGGAAAGCACACCCCACCTCACGTTAAAGAAGCCAAACTGTCTGCTTCAAAGAGAAAAGGCAACATCCTGTCACAGGCCATGCTCTGGCAAAAACGTAAGTGGTTTGGCTGTGTGCTGTCAGAGCCGAGTTCGCACGGGCAGGGCCCGGGAGATGGCGCTTGGCCTGGGAGCGGGGAGCTGGCGGCGCCGGGCACGGGGACGGCGCGTGGGCTCCAGGCCCCGCGGAGTGGGCGGGATGGAGCCCGGTGGAGAAACCGACCTGTCAGGGTGATGCTGATTTTCCAGGCGGGAGGGGAACGAACGAGTGTTCCAAGGTGGGACAGCTCATCGTAGCTCCGCTTCTGTGTATGAATCACCGTGGTGGCGAAAGGGCAGCTTATGATTCACAGAACAAAAGGCAGATGAGACAGGGGTTTGGGGCGGGAGGGGAAAGCTGTGCCGTTCTTTACCCGAGGGGCTTCATTTTTACAAGCAGCTGCTCTTGTCGTTGACGTCCAGGGGCCTGTGTGCGGCTGTGTTACTCAGCCCTCTGCCAGAGCGGTGACTGGTTTCCGTGGACGCATCGGGACAAGGTGGAGACCTGGTTTGGGGGAGCGCGTCTCCACCCGCTTGGGTGTCTTGCCTGTTGTCATGCTTTTTCCCGTTCTGTGGCAAGGCCTGTGCGTCCCACTGCGAGGGGGCAGCGGGTTTATCTTTGACCTTGATTTTTCTCCCTGGAGTTGGGTGGAACGACCGTGAACTTTATTTTCCTTTATGTGGGCTGAACAGAGACTGTATTACTAATTGAAATCCTACAGAGATTATTTACAGTGTTCCTTTCACAAGGTAAACAAAGTCAACTCAGTGGCCTCATGAGAGTTGAACCTAATTGGGCCTCAGTTCCAGACTTCCTCAAGCGAGAAGTATTACCAAAAAACTGCTCTTTCTTTTAGAGGTTCGTACTTGTTTAAAATGCATTTTAGTTAATTCAGGTACACCCGACCTCAAGCAAGCTTAATGTAAGAGAATCTCGATTTGCAGAAAAAGATAAATTAAGGAGTGTTTTTATTTTACAAAAAGATATTCTATTGGATCCCTTAAAGTTCTGAAAATACAACTTCATTGATTAAAATGTGACTTACAGTTACTTTATCAGTATTTCATGGTTTCCTTTATTTCTTATGTAAATTCTCTGGAATTGAGTTTGTTAGTGTGTAATACAGAAGAGTGATTTCCAAATTTCTTTGATTATGAAGTCCCATGATTGTTTGATATCAGTAGATACATTTAAAAAAATAAAAAGAAATGAACTTTAATTTGGGTTCGAGAGTTACAGACTCCTTCCAAGATAATTAGGAATGTTCTAGTATGGGTGGCATGCAGCTCCTTCCAGGTGGAAGATGGAGCGATGGCAGCCAACCCTGTTGTGAGTGGTATGTGGGTGAGGGCAGGTGGGAATTCATTTCTTTACCGGGAGCTCCTAAATATCCATATGCCCTTTCGCTTAGAGCTGGACCATTTAGGTTTTCTGTGAGTCCCTGGAGAGAGTTTTGCCTCAGCTCCTACCTTTTATGAGCAAATAACTTTCCTTTTTTTCAATCCTTAGGTTTCTTATATGTAAAATGGGGGTAAAAAATAATTCCCATCCCACAGATCTACCCTTAGTAAATAAGGTGCCACCAAAATGATGTTCATTGCTCTGGTTCTGCATCAGCGTCTGAGATATGGGTTGCTTCTCAGCACACACAAGCTGCCGTATTCTCCCCTCTTGGTTATGCACTACATTTTTTTACTTCTCTGATGCCTCCTAAGTGATGTGCAGTCTTTGTTAAAGAGGATGCTGGAGGGCATGCTTCCTGCTCACACCCTGGAGACCAGCCAGGTGCAGCAAAGCTCCATCGTAAGGGAGACCACTTTGTAAGCTCATCAGTGAATAACTGGAGTGAATGTTTCACATGTTCATGGAAACACAAATAAAAATTTTCTTTCATTGTCCTTTGGAGCCTTAAGGGAAATTAGGAGAGGCACTCTGGGCACTGGACCCATCCCCTTACCCTGGACCCAAGTATGTAGGACTGAGAGCACCTGGGTGACTAAGCCCTGTGAGAAAACTAGTAAAAACAGGGCAACATCAACAGCTCGCTTAGAATCACCCAGTGGAAGGGCAGGGTTTGAAATCAGACACCAAGAGTGCTGAAAAGGCACTTTCTTTTTTCAGAAAACACCCTCGAGGCATGAGCTGAAATGACTGTACTATGGGGTTCTGGAAAGGGTTAAGAAAACATTCACTTTGTGAATGTTGCCTCCTCCCCACCGGGCTCATGCCCCTCATTTGTGGACTCTATGTGAACATGGGCTTTTGGTTAAAATGAGAGAATAGCGTGACAAAGTTCAGAACTGCTGGCACAGAAGTGGAAATCTTCAGCTCTAACCATGGATTTGAGATTTGCTTGATGGGCCAATCGGATAAACAAATCACTCCAGCTGCAGAATCTCTCCCTGGTTCTGCACTTGGTCCTGCAGTAGACAGAAGAACTAACCTCCACCCCACCTATTACAGTAACTGCAGTAGAACCAGCATGAGCACTGGAGCAAAACAGGTCTGGTTTGAAAGCTGGCCCTGCAACTTAGTTTCTTTCAACTTTTCTCGCTCTTAAAAATCTGGAAAATGGGAATTCTAATGCCTGCCTCACAAAGTTTCTGTGAGAACTAAGTAGAGAATGTAGGTAAGGTGATATCAAGTTTCCTGACAAGCAGTAGCTGAGGTCAGTTAGTATCGTCCCTCCTGGACGCCTGCTGTCATAACCCATCATGAGCGATCAGGGTTATGCCAAAGTCCCTCGTGTACATCCTTTTCCACGCTTTGATTAAAAGTTATAAATCCACGATCAAAATAGTCTTGATTGATAGAATATTGCAAAGTTTTACAAGGGCCTAAAACAGGGGTCTGTGAACTCTGGCCTATGTGCCAAGTCAGGCCTGCTGCCTGTTTTTGTAAATAAAGTTTTATTGAAATACAGCCATGTCCGTTCATTTATATATTGCCTAGGGCTGCTTTTGCTATAACAGCAGAATTGAGTGGTTGTGACAGACACTGTACGGCACAAAAAGCCTAAAATATTTACTATCTGCCCCGTTATAGAAAATGTTTGCCAACATCTGGTCTAAGACGATTTGGCTGGTTATTTAGGCATTCATTTCTTCAGATTACTCAGTATCCTGGGGTTGCACAATGCCAACAGCAATGGTAGATAAATCTGGCAGCCAATTCATTAAATAATTTGTACAATGCCCAAAATTGATTTGATTGAACCTATTCCTTAAAACCAATATGACTGTTTAATAAAATCAACATTGTTTGAATAAATTGGACAATTGCTTTTTATTGTTGTTTGTATTAGGGAAAGATCTACATTATAATGAAAGGCAGGCTTGACTGATTTTCTTTGAATTGGATGATTGTCTTGGTGTCCCATAGACTAGGCCTTGTTGTGTCTTTACTTGAGTGCTCAAGGAGGCATCTTAGGAACAGGAAATGGTTATCAAATTATCACGGCATGGACGTGCCTTTGCTTTTAGACAACTTGACTGGGGCAGAGGTTTAGCAAACGGATACGTTAGGGTCTTACAACTCTCATTGACACAAAATTCTGCTCTTAGCATTTACTCCAGGGTTCCACTAAATAGCCAACATTTTTTAGGGCAGTTAAAGATAAGGAAAATGTGTAATGTGTATTTAATTTTTGAAACTCTTTCTCCTGCATAAATTCAGGCACATTTATAACAAGAAATAATTTAGGTCTGTGGACAACCTCTAATATTTCTATTTTGTGTTACAACCTTTGCTTATTTAATGAGCCTAATAAGTACCTTTCCTTCTTATCAAGTTTATCCATTGATTCAGTGGTCTTGCTGTTAAGGACAAGTAGAATCCTAAAGAGAGACAGAAATTTACATATACCTTTTAGAGGTGAAGTAAGGGACACACGTCTACCAAGCACATAGATTTAATTGGTAAAAGAGCAGATGATTTTCATGGTGGATAATTTACTTCCTTCTCCCTGTATTTACTAAAGAAAAAAATGCTGAATTTGTCCCCCTCTACACCCAAAAAGTTACTGAGTCAGACTTTCTGAAAGCTCTCTTCCAATTCACATGTGCAAATTTGTTCTTTTGTGAGGAACAAAAAAGAACCGAAGTTGTCTACATGTGTTCATTAAATGTGTGGACATTCAATCCGCTAAGAAGTCCTATAAATGTTTGCTTTTAACTTTCCCACTACAAAGTAAGTACATCAGGTTTTTCCCCCTGCTTTGACATCTTTCTGAAGTAGTTTATTTTCCCACTAAATGAAGTTGTCCACCAATTTCTCATTCTAAGCCAACCAAACCAAAGTTGGCTAATTTATTGTGATCATTAAAATTTTACCTTTATGAAATACCTAGCAACACTCTAGTTTTCTAATTTTTATAGAGCAACTGCTTGACAAGAGTGGGCCTGCATGGGATAGAGAGGCCTTCTTTGAGACCCTCTTGTCCTGGTTGTGCGACCATGTTGACAAAGCATTGTCCTTGCAGGCAGGAGTCACGGATTCTATTCTCGAATCTACAGATAATCAGGTGTGGGGCCTTCGGCAAGCCACTTAACCACTTTGGGTCTCAAATGTTCAAATTGTGAAATGGAATATGCCTTTTCCTGGCTAAGGGCAAGGAGACCAAACTTGATTGAGGTTGTTTTCCAGCTCTATTTACTGAGTTTTCCTGAGTGCTTATAAAAAATAAATGTTTTCAACCATGAGTCCTTAATTTAATAGAAGGGATTCTTGCATTTGCTTAGAACAGTGTTTTTCAACCTTGGCTATATACTGAAATATTCTGGAGAGATTTAAGAAACCCTGATGCCTAGTTGACAGCCCAGACCTTCTGCTTGAATTGCCTTGAGCATGGGGGTTTTCAAATGCTTCCCAGGCTATTCTAATATGCAGTCAAGGTTGAGAACTGCTTACCTAAAGGTTGAAATTGATAGCTTCCAATATACCTTTGGACATTGCTACGAGAACATAGCACATGCTCAATCCTTTTAATAGTGATAAATAACAGCTATGGGGTATTGAGA